GCCGGCCGGCGTCGTAGCGGCCGAAACGTACACTGCGTTAGCGGCCAAGGCCATGTCGAGACATTTCCGGTGCCTTAGAGACAGCGTGGTCGGACAGATTCAGGCCACGAAGAAAGCGATGGGGGAGAGAGAAGATCCGGGGGCTCCGGGTACGACACGTGGTGAAACGCCGCGTTTGCGTTTGCTGGATCAGGCGCTTCGGCAGCAGAAAGTGTACCGCCAAATGAGTTTGGTTGACCCTCATCCCTGGCGCCCGCAACGCGGTTTGCCTGAACGCGCGGTTTCAATCCTGAGGGCTTGGCTTTTCGAACACTTTCTTCACCCGTAAGTCATTTCGTTTATATATACATATACACGATACGACCCCACCATTTTCGTTTTCTACACATATATTACATTTCTTTTACACACATACATTTATTGGCATCACCAATCTTTTGTGGTGGTGTGTGGCACGTAAAACTAGTAATATACATTGGTTAATTAAATTTACTATATATAAATTTTTTTACATGATCTATTATTAATTCTTTATATGTGTGTATATTTTAGGTCTTAGAACACAAGTCAAAATATATGCTTTTGATGATACTTACATTTATATATTTGGGGTAATGAATTCATGTATTATGTAGCCATAGTTTTAGATGGAGTATAGAGGTTAGATAAAATTTTATGGGAATTGAAAAATATTGAGATTGACAAGACAGTATCAAGACACAATCTTCCTTCTGATAATTGCATAGCTTTATTCACTTGCATCATTGGTCTGAAAGTGAGTGTGTACTATTTACTAACACCTACATGCACACATATATATATATATATATATATATCCATATAATAAATAAATATATGATTAATTTTGTGATTTTTTTTTGGGTGAAATTAAGATAGAAACAGAGAAAGGTACAAAGTGGGTTTAGAGAGAGAATCAATGTTCCTCACCAAACACTAGAAAAGAGAGAGAAAAGAAGCATAACTACTACTCGCATGTATTTGTTCTTATCTTTTCTTGTCCTCTATTTTTGTTTTCCAATTATCTTTCTTTTTTTTGTTCAATTATTTTAGAAAAATATATAACTAAATATTTATTATTTCCAGTTGTTATATATATTAACTACATGTTCCTGATCTCATGTTTCTACCAAACACTTCTCGTGTCACAATGCAATTATTCTCCAATCATTACTTTTCTATTCTCGGAATAAAATTACGACAACATTTGCCACCAATTTTCCATATGTTATTTCGTGGATCAAATGAAATATTCCTCGTGTTTGTAATTTATTTAATTTGTACATCTTTTTTTTTTTTTTTGCCAGATATCCAAGCGATGTCGATAAACACATCTTAGCTCGCCAAACCGGCCTCTCGAGAAGTCAGGTATAAGTAACTTCATCAGTCATTACACACACACACACACATACATATATATACGCGGATATATATGTGGAAATAATTGGTACCCTTTTGGTTTAACACGATGAAATGGCCGGTTTAGGTATCGAATTGGTTCATCAATGCAAGAGTTAGGCTGTGGAAGCCAATGATTGAAGAAATGTACTCAGAAGAAACACGAGGAGAACGAAACGAGAGCATCAACCACCAAGAAAACATTATGGTCAACCCGGTTTTGACCGACCCTAAACCGGAACTTAACCCAATTATGAACCGGGCCGACCCGGGATCTCTCTCTTCCATTATCACAAACCCTAGCTCCAAAACCCACCACCAAGGAACGACGCCGTTCGGGTCATCGTTTGACTTCTCGTTGTACGGCCACCAGGCTGTGACGTATGGCGGTGACAGCTCCGATATGGGCTTCGAGGATAGAACACGTGGCGTGTCTTTGACCCTGGGCTTGCAGCGCCACAACGACGGTAACGGAGGTGTGAGTTTAGCCTTCTCTCCGGCGGCTCAGGGGGCCCCACTTTTCTTTAGGGACCACGTTGAGGATTACCACCAGCAAGGGTCGGTCCAATATTCGACCACGCATTTGGATGGTGATGATGCCCAGAATTTGCCCTACAGGAATTTGATGGGGGCTCAATTGCTTCATGACATTGTTTGATTATCAGGTTGATCGATTTCATTATATTAGACAAACCGAACCGGTTATCGATCGGTTCCATTAGATAACCAAAATTTTATTTATATATATATATATATATAATACCGTTTCGGAAATGGAATTAGATTGCCGAAGTATAGAAATTTGGGGGGGAAAACACAAAGATATGAAGAGTACACTTTCTTTTTCTTTTGGTTTTGAATTGGATCGATGGTTTAGTTTTTGGTTATGAATTATTTTTGTTTTGAAAATTATCTTATTATTTTCAG